CCCCAAAACCCCAAAACCCCAAAACCCCAAAACCCCGCAATTCAAATTTAATATGAAAGGGTCTAAATATTAAGAAAGGAAAATAAATAAGAAAATACTGATTCATATACTCGAGTGAGTAGTGTCTCACTTTACTTTTACTACTTATAATTAACAGTTCAAACTACTATCATCACCAATATTGGCTTAATAAAAATACTTATCAGTTAGTTTGTTAAGATTGATAGGTTGTAAGACATCTGGGAAGAGCTTCTTATTCCCTTAGAGAGGTCTTTTTATGCTCCTGAATCCCACAGTGTGTGGAACTTCTAGCACTTACTCCTCGATGCTTCTCTCCTCCATATGGAAAGAACTGTGCTATAGCACACCTTTTTATATCCTATTGAAATGAGAATTAAAGTTTCCTGGGAAACCAAGATCCTTAGCTGCATTTGATGCACCCAGTATAGCATGCTTCAAGTTGTTTGTTTTTTATTGCATTTTTCTGATGATTCTGTGTCTCTGTGGTTGTGAGAGTTTCCCTTACTGATGATTCTATTATTTTTAGATTATGTTGTTGAATATGATGGTATTGTCCTTTTAAAGAATCTTGGCAACATCACTTATGACTCTTGCATGGAGTTTTGAAGGATCTCTGGTATCGCCTGAAAATTAAGAGGACAGGTCATCCTAAATCTTATTTTTACTTCTAAAGCTGTCATTAATGCCATAGACGTTCTCTTAGTTACTCTTATCTCCTCTATTACTTGCCCTGTTATCAATAGTAGTTGTGATTGATGTTAGAATATTATTCTAAGTCAGGTTATTGCTATTATTTTGCTAAACATTCTGGAAAATTGTCTTACGTTCCTAACTATTTTCACTGCTCATCACCCTATGATAGTTGGCATTTAATTAGGAGTTAGCATGGCTATTGTATTTTTAATGTTATTGATTATGATTATGCTGAGAGTGATGGTGATTTCCTCTGATTGACACGCTTTATCCACTACTTTACCAGTTATTTACACTTTAAGCTCTATGACCTACTGCTGTGCCAGTAATCTCTCCTCTGCCATTGTAAATAGTTTACAAAGTATGACCTTGCGATGAATTCAAGACTGTACTATATCTAGGATCTTGACAATAGGTGCCATTAACACCATTGGCATTGTTTGAATTAACCTTGGTTTTATAGCCATTTAAAGCCAAATCAGAGGACTTTGCTGAGAGTTCTCTTTGTTTTTGAGAAAGATCAAACATCCTTTTAATGTTTTCAATGAGAAGTTTGCGATTGTCAAAGTTGAAATCTTGAATGAACTTCTAATTTTGTTATTTATCTGGAGTTAAGAGCTGTGACTTAGACTATTTAGAAGAATTCTAGGTCGTGTATTAAGAAGGAAATTGAGTATAATTCAAGCCCACAGCTCCATTGCTAAGTAAATTCTATCTGAAATATCTAGTTCTGTTTTTATATGAGGATTAAGTAGATATCTAATCTTTCAACAACTATTACTGCTGATTATTGGTAGTTGTAGATTCACGACTCCCAACAAGTCTTCTGGCTTTCTGTTGAGCTGCTAGACTTTAGTGCTAGTAGCCAGATCTTGATTGCTGCCTATCTTCAATTATATTCTCCTTTGAGTTATTCAAACTGAATGCAGGCAGCTACTATACTATGCTCTGATTATGGTGGTGATTATTAGGATTTTAATGAATAATCTTATTATTATTGTTATTGCTGTTTATTGCTATTTATTTATTGTTGAACATCTACTATTGCTGTTGTCTGTTGCTATTGCTGTTTTAGTCGACCTTCTTATGCTCATTGAATATTTTACTAGCATTCTTAAGGTAATATACCAGCATCTAGTTCCTGTCCTTTTTAAGCTGATTCATATGTTACTGCTAAGCCATCATTTGCTACTGTTGTTCAAAATGCTACTTCTATTAAAGTTCTATTTTTTGTTTATTCTGCTAAATTATCACAGTCATTTTGTGCTTATAAATGCTCTCTCTGCTATCATCATGATTTGTATGACTCCGCTAAGTCGTAACAACTTAGGTATTGTATTGCTGTTTTTTGGGCGATTTATATAAAATTTTGCCTTTTTCCCTTTGAGAGTCTGTTCCGCTTTGCCTAAATGAGTCTTTGACGTTAGAACTCTAGCTGCCCTGATGATGATATCCAACATATTTGCTCGAAGTGTTGGTTGAAGCACTTACCACCTCTTTTTGGTTGGAGTTGAGTATAGGCTTTCCTGCTGATTAGTTGTTATAACAGTTCACGTTGGTGTTAGTATTAGTATTGTACAGAGTGGACTTGTTGAAGTCTAATTAAAGGTTTATTGGATTTCGCATTACTAAGGAGTTTATTTGATCAGAGTTGAACACAAAATTATCTTAAATTTGTGATTGATTAGCCTAAGTTATATTGACTTGGTCTAGGTCCTTTCCGATTGACACTCTGTTAGAAAAGGCTTTGCATTTGGGTTTAACTTCAACAGTGAACTCTAAGTAGTGACCTTACTCAGAAGGCTAATGATCATTAATCTGCCTGTCGGCTTAAGCTTCTCGGGATGGGGGACTCTTTGAATTCATTGTTTTATTCTTGCAATAATTATATAATCAAACAAATACTTTTAATTTACTTATATAAAATTTATATTTATTTATTCTATTCAGCTCAATTTTAGTTAAATCTAGGTCTATAGCTTAACAGATTATAGTAACTGAAGTGATATGCATGTTTACTTCAGCCAGACAAGTAGTATCATCATACTTTGCCTCTACCTTCCTATCTTCTTCTAAGCATCTCAGTCACACTTACTGGCACGTTTGATTGCTGCTTTTCTTGAATCAACTGCTAGATGCTTCCACCACTACTATTCGGCAAATGTCTGGGTGGCAAATGCTGCTACTATTAGTTCTATTATTAGAACTATTGCTGCATTTGTAACTATTATTGATATTACTGCATCTATTGCTGATTTTAGAATTGAGGTTATTGCTGCTATTACTATTATTGCTACTACTAGGGAGCACCTAGACTTGAGCCTCTGGGTGTTGAGGATTGCTAACCTACTCTCTGGTTGTATACATTAGGATTAAAGGGTAATTGGTTTTGAAGACCATTATTATTTGAGCTATTCTGTTATTGTTGCTATTACTATTATTGATTAGGTGACGCTTGCTGTGATGAAGATTTGATGAGTTGTCTCTACTGCTAATGCAACTATAGGGGGATTTGATTCTCGTTCTAAGTCAGATTAGATGTGTTTGAATGAGAACTGACACTAGAGTACCTAGGCTGTGGATTTTAAGTACTTGAAGTGTTGGTTTTCACAGCTAATACTGCTTATTAAGAAGCTTATAGATGTTTTTGCAAGCTCGCAACTAGGTTATTGACTTCAGCTAATTTTTAAGCCACAAATGGAAGCTTATAAGGATCATTCTAGTTTTAAGTCATTTCATTCATTGCAACTTAAATTAGTCCTAAAAGCTGTTTATTAATATATGTTTTTACCTTAAATATCATTTGATATCAGAATATAAGCTTGCTTTTCTTAACTTGCATGTTCTAGTTAGTTCCTTAGTGATGCTGCCTCTTCATCTATTATAATTATAAAAATATGAGAATAAATTCTTACTCTTTGGCAACTAGTCTTGTATATTATTCAATTTAAGTTGAACTTCTTTATGCACTAGTTCATCTATTTTCTCTCTGACAAATGTTATTTTATCTTAACCCACTTAGTCCAATTGCAGTCTCAGCTACATATTTTCATGATTTTACTGCTCTACTAAATGGCTTAGCTCCATTACTTTCTCATCTGCAGTCATCAATTTGGCAGAGATCATGTTATCATTCTCAGATTGATTGAAAGGAAGATATTTCCTATCATTTTGATTGGAGAACCCAGCTGCACTTCCATTACTTCCTTGCCTGTTTTCATTGAAAACATTCATGTTAAAGAAAAATGGATCATCTGAGTACTGACTTACAGGTGGCTCTTGCCCGCACTAATCCCTGATAAATTCATCCAACTGCTACACTCGCATCTACTTCATTTCAATAATCTGCTCAGTTTCTTTATGTATTCTATCATACGCATCCAACTCTTCTTGAAGTTGGATAATAGTTTCATCTCTTTCATTAAGTCTACTAGTGAGTGCAATCATAATGTCTCTCTATTTTATAAGAAGTTGCTTTAATTTATCTGCTTAAGCCTTGTCCTCTTCAATCAAGTTGCGCTCCTTCTCGATTTCTTGAAGTTTAAGCTCATATTCTTAACGGATTAGTTTTTACTTGGCTTCAAGTGCTGTTCTAAACTATGGAGTATCTTCTATCATCTTACCACCAATGAGCATCTATGAATTCATCATTTTAATCTTCTCTTCAAGTCTCTTCTTCTCCTCCTTCTCCTACATATACTCTTTGGATCTCATTTCAAGGGCACTGATGGCTGCAGTCTTCTCCTCTTCAGCTCTCTTCTTCTCAAGCTCGAGCTAACTCAACTGTCTATTGTCAACTTGAGTTTTATTTTTCTCTTCTAACTCCCATTTCAATCTCTTGAGCTCAATTTCATATTTTCTGAGGAGAGCTCTTTGATCTACATCCTCATTGATTCTTGCCTCGTTCTTGATCTTTTTAGCTCTAGTTGCAAACTTTAGAGTTGACAGGGACTCACCAAAAGCATCACTGGAGGGGGAAACCATAGCCATCATAGTGGTCTTGCAGTTACCTCCAAGGGAGTCTTCAAGCAGACGAGTCAACTTAGAGTCTCTGTAAGGAATGTGCTGTCTTGGCTTTTAGTCTGTTAATGCTGCAATGACATTACCTAGACATGATAGTGACTAATTAATCTTCTTAGATTCTTCAAGACGCTTACCGGTAGCTCCAGTTACTCTGACTCTTTCAGAGCCAGCTAGATCAACTAAGTTAAGTTTACCAACCTTGATCTATTTGGGTGCATCATCTTCGTTATTGCTGTTTATGTCCATATCATCTATTGAAGTCATCTGCTCCACTATTATAATGAAGACTGCATGTGAGCGAGAACTCAAGTCATTCATCTTTGTTGTGGCAGTGGCTCTGCTCAAAGCACCCTTTTGCATCAAGCTGTAAATCTCATTGGGTGATCTGACTGCCCATTCTGAAAGTCCCTCCACAAACACTCCCTTCTTCTTGTCCTCACGAATTTGCAATGAAGTTCTGTCTATCTTCAGTAGATCACTGATCACTTCATTATAGATCTGCAAGTAAGAAGCTCTGACCATGAAAGTGGTATTCTGAGAAGACTGCATCTAGATGAATCTGAATATCTCTTCCATAGATCTTGGCACGATACCTCTTTAGGGATCTCCTGCGGAATACTTAAAGCCTTCCATAGTGTATGTTTTACCTGTACCAGTCTAACCATAAGCTAGGATGGTTGCATTATAGCCCTCTAGCACTGATATCACTGCTTGCTTAGCTGTGTTTTCATAGACATACTCTTGAGTAGAGGTCTCATCATAAACATGATCAAAGCTGTAGTGCTACCAAACACATAAATGTGGATTCTGGTCAATGTCCTTTTGCCTTTCATGCTCATTGACTTCTGCACCAAGATATTCCATAATTGAACAAGACTTATTTTCAGGAGTTACTTGCACAATACTTCTAAACTCACACCCATCAGTCTTTTCTCTAGCTAAGGGTGGTCTCACACGAATCACTACCTTGAAATTGTCATTGGAAGAGTTTCCCATGCCCCCATTACCTCCAGTGTATTACTATGAATAGCTGCTTGTCTGGGAAAGTGGTGGAAGACCTCCTTAGATGTTTTACTATTGTTGCATCGATGATCTTAGACTTAGCTATTGTGACTAATTGCCTAAGCTATTGTTAAATGATTAGCCAGTAGAAGGGTTATTTTATTACATGGGTGCTTAAGTGTAGAGTTATTAGGCCTCGTTCATTGGGTTTTACTGTTACTACTACTATTGCTATTATTACTATTGCTTCATTCTTGTTTACAGCATCTGCTAGATATAGTTTTATTGCTATTGCTGAGAGAATTAGCCACCATTATTGGATTATTATTGCTATTGGACTTGCTGTTTCAAGGCATTATTAATCATAGATTGTGGTTACTATCCGTTAGGAGTCTGAGAATATTATGGATTCATTTAGTTTTACTAATTAGCATAAGCCTCTCTAATAAATCTGTTATCTGGCATCGAAGAAAATAATAGATTGTTCTGTTATTGGAACCCACCCATCTAATTGCCTTAAGGTCCAGGTCCAAAATTAGTTTGTTAATAAGAAGCAGTATTTCCTATGGGACTCTGAGAGGCGTTTCCATGATTTGAAGACTATCCTCTGGCTTGCGAGGATCGCTGTTAATTATTGGTATTCATTTTGAATTATATGAACGACTCTCTCTAACTTTTTATATTTAAATTTCAAATTTTATTCCAATCGAACGATTTCATCTTAGGGGTTTTGGGGTTTTGGGGTTTTGGGGTTTTGGGGTTTTGGGGTTTTGGG